AAATTGTATCAATTTAGTAACAATCTAGCAACTACTTAATTACAATATTATTAAAAAATTATAAATTTCTGTAAAGTAGCCATATTAACTACTAGAAAAAGCAAGTTATAAAGCTATCATCAAGAAGTTTTAAAGATGTAGATTTATGCCAATTTACACGTTAATTAATAGTATACTATTAATTAACATGATTACTCTATATTAAATAATGCAATAAACTATATAAACTAATATATACAGTTAAAAACTAACAAATGCTATAATTATATGCTGTTTTATAATTTAGTTGTTTAACAAATTTTGTATTAATTAACGCTTACTATTAAAAAACTGACAAATGCTATTATTACTTTATATGCTGTTTTATAATATAGTTTTTTTAACAATACATGCGTTAATTAATACTTACTGTTAAAAAACTAACAAATGCTATTATTATATGCTGTTTTATAATATAGTTTTTTCAACAATATATGCGTTAATTAATACTTACTATTAAAAAAACTAACAAACACTATTATTATATGCTGTTTTATAATATCAATTATAATAATATTTGTGTTATTTGCTACATACTATACAGTATATTATTTAATACTATTTATTTAATTAAATTTAAAATATAAAACAAAAATATTAGCATTAAAACTATATTATATTATTAAAAAATATAAAATACTTATAAAAATTTAAGCGATAACACTTTTTATAATAAAATTTATTAATAACTATATAGTTTACACTATGTTTGTAATCAAACTAATATAAGAAACTCCAATAACAGCAAATTATATACTTCTCGAACACCTTTAAAATCGATTGTTGTATTTCGGGGCATGTCAAACTACATTGGTATTTCATCAAAAGAAATTATAAATTTTTTTTTAATGTTTTTTGTTTTTTTACATGAAGTTTGAAGAAATTCTCTAACAACTATGGGCATATCTTCTGGAAGCTTTTGTGCTTGTTGTGTCCGAACTTGTTCTACCAATTTATTCTGTCATATGAAACGTTTAACCCAACTAGCAGAGAACTTTGCACCTTGAATATCTAGTGCTTTCTCTAACTCTTTCACCTTTTTTCCAATTATAGAAGTAGTAACCGCTATCCTTTCTTCCTGTTTTTTTTTAACATAATTTACTAATTCTTTTTCAACTGCAGGATACATGGCTTTTCAACCGCGGCCAGGAAGAGTTCGCACTTTCTCAATACTTAAGTTTTGATCGTCTTAAATTCTTTTTCCATTCTTGGACACGTTTTCAATTGACTTGATAGAACAAAGATGCCTTACGGTTGGAAGTTTTCTCAGCATATTTTATTATATCAAGCTTAAACAAAATAGTATAGCTTCGTTTATTCTCCATGTTTGCAGGTAAAATTTGAATGCAAAGCAAGAAAAAAAAACAGATCATGTTTATTTAAATAGTATCAGGGCCAGGGCATTATTTTAATGGTGGTTTCGTGATCTAGTGCCAGGGCATTATTTTAGTGACGGTTTCATAATCTAGTACCAGGGCATCATTTTAATGGCGGTTTTGTGACAAAATACCAGGGCATAATTTTGATGGTGGTATTGTGACACATAAGATTGAAGAAAAAATTATAAAAGAAAAAAATGATCCAAAGGATTAAAAAAAAAAAAAAAGATCCGGAAAGATCAAAGAAAAAAAAAAAGTTCAGAAAAAAAAATTAACCAATGAGTCGTTGAAACTATAATCTTTAATTGATAAGAAAAAAGTTGGTTCATTTATAGTGTTCCATGTTTATAGTAAACTAAGAACTGTATAGAGAAAAAAAATAAAAAAATATAATCCGACAAATCAAAAAAAAAAATTGGAATCGCTTACAGTACTTTCTTAAAGTTTAGTATATTTATATAGAATTATCTCATTGCATAACTGGTTTGTCTTGAAACAAACAATGCATAATATACAATAAGAATCTATCACTATCGACTAAAAAGTTAGCATGTTTAAAACATTATTGGCAGGTTAGATAGTACTATATATAAGACACACATGCGTGTTATTTTAAAAAAAATATTAGACCGGGAAAATCAACTCCTATTTCAAAATAACGCACATGGGCATACTCGAAATAACGCGCAGGTCAATTAATTAACACTCAGGTAGGTGTTATTCCGAGGCTATATGGTACTACCACAGGATTTTGCATTCAAAAGTTTCCGAAAGTTACAGAGATAATTAATTAAATTAATTACCACTAGCTGTAATTGAACCGTCAATCTCGTTTGTAGAGGGTTAGATGCCTAGTTGTCCGAAGCGAAGCATAGAACTCATACTTCTACATTAAGTGATAATCAAAATTACCTTTTTGATATATTTATAGTAAAAATATCAAAAACGTAATTGTGACATTTTCTAAATATAATGCCCAAGTAAACCTTACTTTGACTTCTAATAAAAGTTGTAGAGGCGTGTCTTGCGATCAAAATGGTAGTTAAAATGTTAAATTCGGATTAGTAGATCGCGAGATATAAGCATTTTTGTC